ACACTATATTTACTGATACCATAAGTTTACATTGTCTGTTTACAAAATGAATTGTCTGTCTGTCAGTACCTATATCATGTTGTCTTTTATGATACAAAACACTGTAGATGTTATATGTAATACTAACACTAGAATAAAAAATGAAAATATGAAAAAAGTAGAACAATTCATGCACTGGTAATAAAGAAGCAGCAATATAATTGTTTCATGGTTGCTTAGTGTAATTGATACAAATGCTTCACAGTAATAAAAAAAACAACTCCAAAAAATTTTTCCCATATATTTATTTTTTAAAAATCCATGTACTTGTATAAGTAGACCTGTGTACTTCACACCTATGTTGTTCAAGGGTCAACTATAAATTCATCTCAAAAATTGATGGAATATTTTGTTCTGAGTCTTTAGTTCAAATCTAGCTTATCTGCTAGATTCTTTTAAAGTATTATTTGATACACCTAAATGCTGGAGACAGTCACATTCCATACCTGCAGAGCTCTCTAAAACAGTATGAGGCCAATACTCAAATCATTTATTTGCCTAACAATGGATTTATGACAGTTTAATTTTTTGTTCTGTAATTCCTGTATTCTCTTCTTCCCGCATACCTTCCAACTGTGTTCTCTGTATCTGTATATATAACAAACAAACAACAAATGAATATAGCTAAACCAATATGTGAGTTGAGACAACACTGAGAATAAAAGCATTCTATCTTTCCATTTCAGTACAATTTGGATCACAACCTCTATCCAAGAAGCAATTCCTTTGCTGAGGTTCCATTCTTAATTTCCTACATAAACTCAGACATTTAACCATTGATATTTTTTTGCCTTACCACATCAAAACAGCAGACTCACAATGATATTATAAAAATAACATAGGATATCTAAATGATGTAAGATAACTTGTTGAACGCCTTTTAACCAACAAGTACTTATGAACGATAAGGACACATCAGCAAAAATGATGGGGTAAAAACCTCTAAAAATTCTCTCCTTTCTAAAAGCAAGAAGAACACTGGTAAATTGTGAGACTCAACTTTTTCTGAACTGTGGGAGTTAACCAAAGGCTTGCAGCAGTTCAAGGGATAATTATTAAAGGAAAAATGACTGAATCTTGCTAAAAAGAGTGAGTTTTGTGGTGTTTTTAACTTGCCCTGTTCCTATTCCGCTCTCCCAAGCTCTGCAGTAGCCTTTAAAAAACCAACAGCCTGTAATCACAGTGAAAACCAGGAGCCTGGTAGCCACCAGAGGCGGTAGAAAAGGGCTGAAGCTCCTCCAGAGTCCCATTCTCAGAGAACTGTTACCATATGACCTATCCGGTGATTCTCAGGAAGACTCCACCAGCAAGGCTATCTTTATTTGACCTGACTTGGAGCTTGCCCCGTGCAAAAAGGCTAATCTCCAGGGGTGTTTGTTGAAAACAATTATAGGCAATTGTGTAACAGTGTGGCTGTCTGAGGCAGCAGTTAATGGTTGGGGAAACCAACAGGCTAACCAAAAAGTTTCAAAGGAAAAGCTGAGGAATGAGATGTCCATAAAGGACTTGGAAAAGTTCGAAGTATCTCCAGGAATGTAGAAGGCTACACACATGCCCATGGCTGTGCACATGCTCAACAAAAGAACTGAGAAGGCACTAAGATCTCCTCTCTCTTTGATCTTGGGGCTCTGTGAAAGCAGGAAGTGAAGTGTCAACTGCTTGGTGGAATGTTGTAGGTGAGCCCCAATAACACACAGAGCCCTTTGGCAAAGACTGAGAGACTTACTGGTTCTAGGCACTTAAGGAAATCCCTGTCCAATCATCAGCTGACCACTAGTCTAAACAAGCAGAGACTTTAGTGATCACACAAAAAAGAATACAGACTTTACAGAATTAGTTTAGGAAAGTCACTAAACCAACAACAAGCAGCATCAAAAACAAACTCTGGGGGAAGCAAAACTCTGATTTCGAGAGTTGCCACATTATTTAAAATGGATCCAGTTTTCAACAAAAAGTTGAGACATGCAAAGAACCGAGAAAGTAGAGCCCATTCTCAGAAAAAAAAGGTAGTCAAAGTAATAATTATCCCTGAGGAGCCCAGATGTTGAACTTACTAAACAAAGGCTTTAAATCAACTATTTTAAATATGTTCAAAGAACTAAAGGAAATTATATCTACAGAACTAAATAAAAGTATGAGAATAATGCCTCACAAACAGACTCTTAACAAAAAGAAAAATTTTTTTTTTTAAAGATTTTATTGGGCAATTGGGGAAGGGGAACAGTGTTGGGGAATTGGGAAAGGGGAACAGCCAAGTTGTTGTCCTTCAATCTTAGTTGTGGAGGATGCAACTAGTTCAGCTCCAAGTCCAGTCACCATCTGGCCGCTCATCGGTAGCTCACGGCGGCTCAGCTCAAGGTGCTGTGTTCAATCTTAGTTGTGGGTGGGTGTAGCCCACCATCCCATGTGAGAGTTGAACCAGCAACCTTGTTGTTAGGAGCACGTGCTCTCACCAGCCGAGCCATCCTGCCAACTCTGTTGGCAGCTGGGCAGCAGCTCAGCTCGGGCGCAGCTACCTGGCCCATGTGGGAATTCAACTGGCGACTCCATTGCTCAGAGCTCGCGCTCTTAACCAACTGAGCAACTCGGCCAGCCCCAACAAAAAGACAGAAATTCTTAAAAAAAGGAACTAACCAAACAGAAATTCTGGAGTTGAAAAGTATAATAACTGAACAAAAATTTCACTGGAGGAATTCAGAAGCAATTTAGAGCAGAAAGAATTAGTGAATTTGAAATTATCTAGTCTGAGGAACAGAAAAGGTAAAGGACAAAGATAAATGAACAAAGCTTCACAGGTCAGTGGGACACTACCAAATGTATCAACATATGCATAATGGAAGTCCCAGAAGGAGAGGAGAGAAAGAGACAGAAAGAATATTTGAAGAAATAATGGTGAAAAATTTACCAAATTTATCTAAACATTCATGACCTCTAAATAGGATAAAGTCAAAGAGATTCAAACCTAAGCACATCATAATCAGCTGCTGAAAGAGACAAAGAGAGAATCTTGAAAGCAAAACATAAAAAACCAAATTTAGATACTCTCCTGAAGGTTGCCTACAAATGTATCTGAGGCAGAGTGTGGCTTCAAGATGAGACCTCAAGGGTCTTCAGTTCCTTCATGTAACTCTTTGGAGGTGAATTAGTTGAATATACATTTGATATCACTCATAGGGGATGTTTTTTCTCCCATTGTAATCTTTAGGAATAACAATTAACCAAATTCTCCAACCCAGCTGAATGTTTAGTCTCCTACACTAATCTCAAAGCAGCAATAGATTCAAAAAGGAAATAAGAAATCCTCTTTTGCAGAAAGAAAAAGGTATTAGCAACTGATGAGTGATTATGGCTTTTATTTGGGAAGGTAATTTAAGTACTTGAATTAAAGGCTTAACTTATTTAAGGCAGCTGATTAAGAGCTTCTTAACAGCTATGAATTAATCATTAATTTTTTGTAGCTCATTCACAAGAAAATACTGTGACATAGTGGTATCTCAATCCAAAGAAACTTAAATAAAGAAAAAAAATTAAATCTCAATGATAGGCCTCAAATATAAATTTCACGGTATTTCCCTTTCTTCTCCTCCTACATTAACTTAAATCAAGGAGAGGCACTAAGATAATCACACTTTATCTCTTAGTATTAGAAATTAGGGTAACCATAAAGTTACTACTTTATTTCTTTCTTTAAAGCTCATTGTTGTACTGACTCTTTCCAAATGCTGTAACTGTGCCTTTTATTTTTACATTTATATAGTGTCTTCATATTGAAGTACAATAAATCACTTTAGAAATGTAATGGAGGAATAACAATGCTCAAAGACACATCACTATCTTCTTTTTAAGACCATTGTATCATATAAATTCAAAATGAAGAAGAATTAAATATTGGGTTGTCGGAAAAGTCATGATGTTTTTTTTCTATGTTTTTCATTGCAAAAATGTGTCATGACTTTTCCAACAACCTAATAGTTTTTATCCCTGTTCCTCAGATAAAGATGCTGGGGAAAAAAAAGGTGGGGATAAAATGTCTTACTCAAGATTAGGAAAATAAAACTACAGTTGACCCTTGAAAACACAGGTTTGAACTGCATAGATCCACTTATATGTGAATTTTTTCCAAATACCTGTACTGTTTTTTATTAACATTTGGGAGTCCACGAATGCAGAGGGCCAACCGTATACATGATCTACACCTTTTTACACAGGGACTTGAGCATCTGTGGATTTTGGTATTAGCAGGGGCTTTGGAACTAATAACAAAGGACAACTTAAGTTTGTGGGGGGTCAAAAATAATATGTGGGGGCCGGCTGAGTGGCGCGTTGGTTAAGAGCTGGCTTGGGACACCAGCTCTGAGCAGCAGGGCCCTGGTTCGGATCCCACATGAAGGCTAGTGACACTGCCCTCTACAGCTAAGATGGTGAACAACAGCTTGACCTGGAGCTGGGCTGCCGTGAGTCGCTGTAGGCTGTAGCCCGTGCTGCAGTGGGCTGCCGTAAGCTACCGTGAGTGGCCGGCAGCCTGCATGAGCTGCCAAAAGCCTCCGTGAACAGCCGTCCAGAGGCCGGCGACCAATCTGCCTCACCCGGGAAAAGCACAATGATAATACCAACATGGGCCAGTGAAGCGACATCCTCCACAACTAGACTGAAGAACAAAAGGACAGCAACTTGTCTGTTCCCCTTCCCTGATTCCCCAATGCTGTTCCCCTCCCCCAATTCCCCAATTAAAAAAAAATAATAATAATAATATGTGGATTTTTGATTGCATGGGGGGAGATGTCAGCTGTTCAAGGGTCAATTGTGTAACAATTTCAAAAAAACAAGTACAAATTAATGAGTAAAAATATTGAGACCAATGCCCATGGCAGAGAAAAGTTTATCTGGGTGGCCTCTAGTCTTTATGACAGATATTCATAGATGGGAACAACTACCCCATTGTCCAGCTTTCCCAAACTAACCTGTGATGATAAGACATTCATTGTGATCCAGCACCTCAGTAAAGAGCCGTGAAACAATCAACTCAGGGTTGATCAAAAAGCGAATTTCTTCTTGCACAAGTCCTGCACTGGTTACACCACCTCCAACAAAACGGTTTGCAAAATCCACCTAAATGGGAAAACGTGCACATTAAATGATGATCTAAAAATACCTAGATACATGATCAAAAAGTACACTATTTCTAGTCTTCCTTCCTTTCCCATATAAATCAATCCCCAAATTAGTAATCTTCTTAGAGAGAAGAGATTGTGGTTGATCGCACTCTTTCCATCTCACTGCAGTTAACAGTTAACATCTCTGCATATTTCTTTGGATCCCAAAAACCTTAGAAAATGGAGCTTTTAGGCAAAAGACAATGTAATTACGTGAACTTTTGTTTAAAAACCTTATTTACGCTCTAAGGAACACAAAGCAAGGGAGGTTTTATCTGGAAAGGTTTTAAGATACTTTCACCACCATTCACTACTCAATTTCCATTTATACATTTCATAGGCTTTAATATAATTATACCTTTCTTATATAATATGGCAATCAAACACTTGTCCTTAAAAAGAAAGAACTGTAAAGTTTCGTAATTGATCTTTTTTGAGTAACCTTTTTCTTTTGTGGAAGAATAAAGGGATGGAAATTAAGTCCTGCTAAACAAAATTGCGAACTTCCAACTGAATGAACATTACAAATTACTTTTTAAAAAATATACCTAAAGGTCTGGCCAAATGGCTCAGTTGGTTAAGAGTTGGCTTAAGAGCACGAGCTCTGAGCAACAGGGCCGCCAGTTCAATTCCCACATGGGCCAGTGACGCTGCGCCCGAGCTGAGCTGTCGCTGAGCTGCCACTGGCAGGATGGCTCAGCTGGTGTAACAAGATTGCGTGTTTGATGGTGGGCTACGCCCCCCTCAACTAAGACTGAACTCAGCACCTTGAGCTGAGCGGCCACCTGGATGGCTCAGTGGATAGGGTGTGCGTTCTTAACAACAAGGCTGCCAGGTTCAACTCCCGCATAGGATGGTGGCTATGCCCACCCGCAACTAAGACTGAACTCGGCAACTTGAGCTGAGCTGCCGCCCAGATGGCTCAGTGGATAGAGTGTACGCTCTTAACGACAAGGTTGCTGGTTGGACTCCCGCATGGAATGGTGGCTATGCCCACCCGCAACTAAGATTGAACACAGCACCTTGAGCTTAGAGGCCACGAGCTGCTGACGAGGAAGCCAGATGGCGACTGGCGCCCTCCACAACGAAGACTGAAGAACAACAACTTGGCTGATCCCCTTCCCCAATTCCCCAATACTGTTTCCCTCCCCCAATTCTCCAATAAAAAACCTTTAAAAAAAGAAAAATACCTAAGGGAAAAAAAATGAAGACAGGAAACCTAGTTTAACAATAAAGATTCAACTAAATTAATACTTCCAATTTAGTTTAAAACTATACATAAGCTTTGTGTGCAGTACTCAGATGGGATCCCCAAGCTCCTATTAACAATAACGAGTTACACAACCCTCAAGAGAAAGCCAACTCAGCCTTCCATCATTATTTGTTTGTCTTAAACTTAATAAGCACCTTACCAAGCTTCCAACACTATGCTAGGTATCATGGGGAAATATGTAAGGAATGGTTTCTAACATTGCCTTAGATTATTCTATTTGAGGAGTTAGATCACACACATCTACACAACTGTGTACATACATAGTCATACACACCAGAAAACAGAATTTAGTAAGTAATATAAAAGAGGCTTATGTATACTGTGTAGGAAAAATACATTCCTGGGTCTCTCCTTTAATTTCACATTACTATCAAACTCACAAAATTTCTGACACCAGATGTGTGGGTTTTCCACACATTGAGCAATTCAATTCAAGCCCTATAATTCAATTCAGCTCTGACACAATCTACCTGGAGTTAACATCAGATTCCACAGGTTAAGGGCTCAGTCCCACAAGACTGCCTGACTTGAGATGCCAATTCCAAGTCCCAAGTTTTTACCTGTACTTCTAGTTATCTGGCTAAGTGGGGTTCCCATGACCCCCTCCTGGAGTTTGATAATTTGCTAGAATAGCTCACATAACTCAGGGTAACACTTACATTTACTGATTTATTTAAAAGGATATAATAGAGGATACAGATGAACAGCCAGATAAAGGGATACACAGGGCAAAGGATGTGGGAAGGGGCACAAGGCTTCCCCAGAAGTCACTCTCTCAGCACCTCCACATGTTCACCAACCTGGAAGCTCTCTGAACCCTGTACTTTTGGGGTTTTTATGGAGGCTATATAGCATGTGGGCATAACTGATTATCAACTCAGTCTCCAGTCCCTCTGCTTTTCCCCAAGGATGGGTGGTTGGGTGCAAAGTCCCAAACTTCTAATCATGGCTTTCTCTTTCTGGTGAACATCCCCCATCCTGAAGCTCTTTGGGAGCCCACTAAGAGTTACTTCCATAGAACAAAAGAAATTACTATCACCCGCAAATTGCAAGTGATTTAGGAGCTCTGTGTTAGAAATCAGGGTCAAAGACTAAATATTAGAACAAAAGATGCTCCCAGTGCTCTTATCACTTAGAAAATTACCAGGGTTTTAGGAGCTCTGAGCCAAAAACTGGGGACAGATATATATATAAATATATACATATATGTGTACCTATGTGTGTGTATCTAATAAACATATATGAATAATAAATGTATATAAATTTATTTCTATTTCACATATACTTTCAGACTATTTTCAAATATGAGGTTTCTTAAAAGTTGTCTGTGTTCTCTAAAGCAATTATGATATTATCTGAAGCCTATTTTACAAAAGAGTAAACAAAGAATATGAATTTTTTTGATATGGAAAAATATATGTGAAAAGACAGAAATGAATAGAAGGCAAAGTAGTCTTCTTGCACTATAGAAGAACTTAGAAAATACTGAAAATTATGACTGGACAAGACTTAAAATGAGTTACCACAGAGACATATATATTTGGGTTTATATTCTGGCATACTAAATCAATGCTAAAAAACAGAGTAACTCTTTAGCTTATTTAGAAAAATAATTTTGGTTAAACGAATCCATTGACCAGAATCAGTTATATACTAAATAATGAGGTCTTTACGCACTGGGTGATTTATGGCTTATACTATTCAATTCAACAAATATTGACTGAATCTTGTGCTAGGAACCATTGGACACAAAGAAGAGTAAGACATGGTTCCTGGCTTCACAGCATTTACAATCTAGATAGGAGTGAGGCACATAAGCAGAATGATAAGATGATTATTTAAGGATTTATTAGTATTTTTTTGATACTGCCCAAATAAAACAATTAACTACAATTAGAGCAAGGGGAGCCTTACAAGAGGATGTGTCATTCAATCTGGATTTTGCTGACATTCAGGCTGAGAAAATAGCTGCACGAGGACATAGGGAAAACCAAATGTGAAGAGCTGTCTGAGGCGAGTCATAGCAGATTCCTCATGCCTGTCTGCAATGTAGGGTATGTGGAGGGTTACAACTGGTGATGACGTGGTCTGGGGTCCAGGAAATTTTTTCTTAAGGTTTGGGGAAAGATTCTAGGAGAAAAGTAACAATAAAGGACCTGTGTTTTAGGAAGATAATTCAGGCTCGAGTTTAAAGAACGACCTGGAAAAGTATGAAATTAAAAGCAGAGAGGCTGGTTAGGTGACTACTGAATAGTTTATACAATACTTCCAGGGCCTCAGAGAGGTGAGTGGGAAAGAGAGTGAAGGAAAGAGAGACCCAGCAAAGAAAGAAAATGGACAGCATTTGAAAACTGAGAGACTGGCTAAGTATAATGATTGCATTATAAATACAAATGAGAAACAAATGTTTGCGATCAACTAAACTTAATTTTTACCAGAACGAGGTACACAGCCAAAATAGAAAGATAAGCTATATCCAACTTATGTACTACTTGGTAAAAATAAATGAAATACATTCAGGATGCATGTTATTGTTCATTTTTTGAATAAAAGGCCAACATTTATTACTTGAAAGGTATGCATAGAAATAAATACACTAAATTAAATACGCCTCTCAAAGCAGGAGTGTTTTAGAAAATCAAAGTTTCTACTACTTAAAAAAGTTCTTAATAAAAGGCTATTACAGGTGAGAAACCTGTTCCAATACATGAAAACAAGCATGTGAGCTCTTTATTTTTAGCCAGTCATTTTTCAACTCACTTTACTTTAAAGTTACTTGTTTAGATTACTCAGCTTCTGAATTATAACTTGATGAAGAGAGAGAAATGATAACACTCCTTAGAGAGATTTTGTTGTTACTGCCATTCAGCATCATGTAATTTATACGCTGCACAGGGAGCTTTGTGGCCCTGCAATACAATATTCCCTGATTTCCTGGGAATGCATGGCCAAGGAGGGAGAACAATTAATGGAAGCCTGCATGGTATTCTTTTAATCTAGCAAGGCTTCACCCTTCATCTATAATATATTCCAGGGAAGTGTGGGAATCTTAGCCTTGAATGTTGTTAAATAACCCCTTGTTGAATTGTACTGTAACAAAAAGCCAGCATTCCTGCAGTGCTAACGAGCAGTAAGGAGCTTTGTTGATTTCATATGAATTAAGACTCCCTCAGCTAATCAAAGACTTTAATGTAGGAAAGAACGTCATCAAGATGGTATTGTGGGGAAAAGTGATGTTCTCCTGAAACAAATTTTAACTGTGATTAAAAATTATTGTTTTAAACAAACAACAAGTGCTGGCGAGGCTGTGGAGAAAAGGGAACCCTGGTGCACTGTTGGTGGGACTGCAGATTGGTGCAGCCATTATGGAAATCAGTATGGAG